TTTAAGTCTCATGGCCCTCTATCAGAATCCAGAGTTTTGAGAGGGTTGGAGAAACTTCATTTTTCGCCCGAAAAAAAACGTAAGGGGTACCACTGTCGTTTTTTTGGGGGGTCGAAATTTTGAGTTTCGATATCTCAGCTGTGGAAGGGTCTAGAGCCTCCATTTTTGGACTCAGGTTTAAGTCTCATAGCCCTCTATCAGAATCCAGAGTTTTGAGAGGATTGGAGAAACTTCATTTTTCACCCGAAAAAAAAAAAAACTTAAGTGGTACCACTGTCGTTTTTTTGGGGGGTCGAAATTTTGAGTTTCGATATCTCAGCTGTGGAAGGGTCTAGAGACTCCATTTTTGCACTCAGGTTTAAGTCTCATGGCCCTCTATCAGAATCCAGAGTTTTGAGAGGATTGGAGGAACTTAATTTTTCGCCGAAAAAAAAAAAAAAAAACGTAAGGGGTACCACTGTCGTTTTTTTGGGGGGGGTCGAAATTTTGAGTTTCGATATCTCAGCTCTGGAAGGGTCTAGAGCCTCCATTTTTGCACTCATGTTTAAGTCTCATTCCCCTCTATCAGAATCCAGAGTTTTGAGAAGATTGGAGAAACTTAATTTTTCGCCCGAAAAAAAAAAAAAAAAAAACGTAAGGGGTACCACTGTCGTTTTTTGGGGGGTCGAAATTTTGAGTTTCGATATCTCAGCTGTGGAAGGGTCTAGAGCCTCCATTTTTGCACTCAGGTTTAAGTCTCATGGCCCTCTATCAGAATCCAGAGTTTTGAGAGGATTGGAGAAACTTCATTTTTCGCCCGAAAAAAAAAAAACGTAAGGGGTACCACTGTCGTTTTTTTGGGGGTCGAAATTTTGATTTTCGATATCTCAGCTGTGGAAGGGTCTAGAGCCTCCATTTTTGCACTCAGGTTTAAGTCTCATGGCCCTCTATCAGAATCCAGAGTTTTGAGAGGATTGGAGAAACTTCATTTTTCGCCCGAAAAAAAAAAAACAAAACGTAAGGGGTACCACTGTCGTTTTTTCTGGGGGTCGAAATTTTGAGTTTCGATATCTCAGCTCTGGAAGGGTCTAGAGCCTCCATTTTTGCACTCAGGTTTAAGTCTCATGGCCCTCTATCAGAATCCAGAGTTTTGAGAGGATTGGAGAAACTTCATTTTTCGCCCGAAAAAAAAAAACGTAAGGGGTACCACTGTCGTTTTTTCTGGGGGTCGAAATTTTGAGTTTCGATATCTCAGCTCTGGAAGGGTCTAGAGCCTCCATTTTTGCACTCAGGTTTAAGTCTCATGGCCCTCTATCAGAATCCAGAGTTTTGAGAGGATTGGAGAAACTTAATTTTTCGCCCGAAAAAAAAAAACGTAAGGGGTACCACTGTCGTTTTTTTTGGGGGGTCGAAATTTTGAGTTTCAATATCTCAGCTCTGGAAGGGTCTAGAGCCTCCATTTTTGCACTCAGGTTTAAGTCTCATGGCCCTCTATCAGAATCCAGAGTTTTGAGAGGGTTGGAGAAACTTCATTTTTCGCCCGAAAAAAAAAAAAAACGTAAGGGGTACCACTGTCGTTTTTTTTGGGGGTCGAAATTTTGAGTTTCGATATCTCAGCTGTGGAAGGGTCTAGAGCCTCCATTTTTGCACTCAGGTTTAAGTCTCATGGCCCTCTATCAGAATCCAGAGTTTTGAGAGGATTGGAGAAACTTCATTTTTCGCCCGAAAAAAAAAAAAAACGTAAGGGGTACCACTGTCGTTTTTTTGGGGGGTCGAAATTTTGAGTTTCGATATCTCAGCTCTGGAAGGGTCTAGAGCCTCCATTTTTGCACTCAGGTTTAAGTCTCATTCCCCTCTATCAGAATCCAGAGTTTTGAGAAGATTGGAGAAACTTCATTTTTAGCCCGAAAAAAAAAAAACGTGTTACCCCTGTCATTTTTTTTTTTTGAGCAAAAAAATAAGTTTCTCCAATCTTCTTGAAACTCTGGATTCTGATAGAGAGCCATGGGACTTAGACCTGAGTGCAAAAATGGAGGCTCTAGACCCTTCCAGAGCTGAGATATTGAGATATTTATAATGGCGTAAATGCTACGTGGTATCTCAATATCTCAGCTCTGGAAGGGTCTAGAGCCTCCATTTTTGCACTCAGGTCTAAGTCCCATGGCCCTCTATCAGAATACAGAGTTTCAAGAAGATCAGAGAAACTCAAAATTTCGACCAAAAAAAAAACGGCAGTGTTACCCCTTTGGGGGTTTTTTTTTGTGCGAAAAAAATAAGTTTCTCCAATCTTCTTGAAACTCTGGATTCTGATAGAGGGCCATGGGACTTAGACCTGAGTGCAAAATGGAGGCTCTAGACCAGGTTGTGCAGGTCAGGAGCATCATTATTTATTTATTTTTTTCTCAGCCTTTTTCCTGGTTGCTTTTATAAACAGACAATCATTTATTTAACAGTGCCTTTTTAAAATAGACTACTAGTAGGCCAAGTAAAATTACCATCAAGTAGAATTTTTTTTGTAGGCTACTTCACTTTCACCATGTCCATTATTATAGTGTGGTGACTCTGACATTACAATGAACAAAGTAATTATGAAATTATGAAAATAAAAATAAAATAATTATAATAAGTTATTAAAACATCTAACATGGCCACCACAAACGCATTTAATTTGTCTTCTACTTTTGCCAGCACTCTCTCCTGGCTTTTGCACACTTTGAGGTGTTCCCTGGCGTTTTATATAAAGACTTAAATTTGGCATAACCTTCCATTATTATCTCTGCTTGGGAGAAAAAATGGGCGTGTTTCTGCTATCGATACCTGTCCCCTTATAAACCAACGCGAGAATGCGCAGTTATCTCAGACAACTCAATCCAGCTATACTAATCCTAACCGGCAGGAGTGTTCGAAGAACCCAATTAGCCGGATCATGATTAGCATGATGATATCATCTTAGATGTCTCATTTGATCTCGGATGTTTTAAGCAACGTACGAAGAATGAGCCCCAGCTCTATTGCTTATTGGAATACATTTCTTGATGACCTTGATTGGGAAAGTGTTTGGTTATTGCTTTATATGTTTTTTTGGTTTGTTGCAAAAAAAAGGTGAAAGAAATTTCTTTCAAGATTCTTACGCTAACCCTGTACTTGGCCCCTGAATGTAACACGTGGCCCCTTAATGGCCCCTAGCTACAAAAAAATCCTAGAACCACCACTGATTGAGCATATTTCCCAATGAATTCATTTCCACAGCTCACATATGCTGCATCTATCTGAAGTGTGACTAAGAGATGTCAAGAGTAGCCTATTGCAGTCCTCAACAGTCACATATTGACCTTTGATGTGTCAGTTTAGGGCCTGATCCAGTGTAGTACTCCCAATCACAAGTTGATCATAATGTTATTGTGATTCGCAATGTCATCATAATGAACATATAAAGACTCAATAGAAAATAACTTTGCTGCTGTACACAAGTCTTCAAAGTGAAGTGCATTCACTGTGACACGCAAAGTATTGATTTTGTATATACTCCAATTAAAGAAAGACCTTTTTTTTTCATTTTTGAAAAAGCTAAATTCAAACAGATTTCCCAAAACTTCCAAAAGCTCCCTCATCTATTACTCTAATGTTCCCAGATACAACTGTACATCTTCAATATTTAACACAGTAGATATGTCAGAGGTTTAATGCTTGATTTAGATCAGCTTCAGTGATTTTACATTTGCCAGTCGACACAGAACCTCAGATTTATCCTTCAAACACACTTTGTATAAAGTGAAGAGAAAGTGAGGAATTGTTTCGAAAAATTTTGGTGCCATTAATGATAATGAATACTTTGAAAGATTCAAACTGTTAAGTGAGGGAAGGGGACTGAAATCAAGAGTGAGATAAACTTAATTAAGTTCAAAACGTTAAGGCTTCCAGAGGAATCTCTGAAAAACATCCAGTAATTTCAAGGTATTCGAGTGAAACAAAACATGCGAATGAGTCTGGAGCCAAGGCACCGTAATAGTCTTGATCCATTTGAACACACAGGTTCCGTAAGTTTGATGGAAGTCCAAGCAGGTCTTCTTTAACGTCAGCGACACCTTGGCAGTCACCTGTGTTTGTTTTTCCAGCACAGGTTGTGGCAATAGGAAACTCTTCCACATCACTGAATAGACATTTGTCAGCAGGCCAAGAAGAAACACAAGTCGTCTTCAGGAACAGTATTAGAAATGAGAACAGAAGCTCCATCTTCAATTCCTCAATGATCTTTATAGCTTATGACTCTTCTCTTCTAGGCATTGTCTCTCTTTTTCACTGGAGTTAACTAACCATGTCAGAACATTTGAACAAGATATAAACTTCCCTTTTCTGTGGCCGAATTTAGTAATTTGCATTATTTCTCTGTGGTTTTAACACATGTATGAGGGCTTCACCAAAAATGTTTAATTCGGTCATCAATTACCCTCATGTCCTCCCAAACCAGAAGGACTTTTTTTCTTCTCATAAACTAACTCTCATAATATCAGACCGTCTGCCTAAAATCTGCTGATGTTCCCCCAACAGACGTTCGTCTGACTAACTATTAGTAACTTTTAAACTATGTCAACTTATTCTGCTAACCATCCAAACACTCTAATGTTACTTATAGTTAGAATGTTTAAAGCGGGCCATCGAAATAAAGTGTAATGAGAATGTCATACAGTACAGGTTTGAACAACATGAAGGAGAAAATGATAACAGATTTTTCATTTTGAGTGAACTATCCCTTTAAATTTAAGTTTAAATTACTGAAAGACTTCAGTCTAATCTGATTATTATTCAGCTGAGGAATTTAGTCAAATGTCCTGCTATTTCTGAGCAAGTGCATTGTGACAGATGCAACATTTTCAGAGCAATTCACTACTACTAAGTGCTATTTCACAACAGTGACCCTCATGCAGGGGTTTAATACACACCCAATATAATCAAGCTATGTTAAAGGGTAATCGTACAATTTTACAGAATAGTAAAAGTCAGCTAAGACCAAAATCTGAAAGCACATTTGAATATTAATTTATTTATGAGTTTCCTATTATGGTGTTTTCTTCTGCATATAAATATCACAAACATATTAAAATGTTAAATATATTGTTTAAAATGACATATTTGATATATTTTAAGCAGTAAATGTTTAAATGTTGAAAGTAGCAATTAAATGCTTTGAAAAAAAAGAAAAGAAAAAAAGAAAGAAAAGTCCCATTGCTTTGGTTACAATATACTGTAAGTGGAAAAGTCCCATTGCTCGAACATGGTAAAAAAAAAAAAAAAAGTCTGCATCATACATCATACATAAATATTCTAAAAACCAAATCATTTCTTAAAGGTCTATTACAATTATGTGCATAGAAAGTAACACTCAAAGTAAAAAATTAGCTTACATTCAACCTACTGTTAAAGATTTATCTCCTTTTTTACACCGGTGTCATTACTTTTTTAAAGACATATGAGTCAGTGAATTTCTACAATGTATTAACTGAATTTTGCTGACCAAAGACAAACCTAAATACACAGTCAAAAAGGTTTATGTATAGCCTGTGTATATAAAGTAGGAAAGTGCATCCAGTTGTGTTGACTGGGGTGGACTTTAACTCTTCACTCTCTGAATGAGCTCAGAGCTTGTTCACAGTTCATGTCTCCAGAAGATCAGCGTTGACCAGTCAGGCTAGCAGAAAGATGTTTAGCTCACAACTTTGTACCTTTGTCCTTATCCTCCGAGTTGCCGTTCTCATCACAGTGAAAGCCACCATTCTCCAAGGCGTGATTCTGCTTATTCTGATCCTCAACGGTGCCTTCCCCATCCTCGTCCGCTGATTTCTTCTGCCTACATTGCTTGATTAAGTAATGGACTGAAAATACATACAAAAGTTTGTGATATGGAATTATCAACTCTTCAAAATCACAACATGCGTATCCCCACAGTCCCCTCTCATATTCCTAATGTTAAATGCAAAATGAACAAGAGTTTCATCTTACTTCCCACTGCAACCACAGCCACAACCAGTTGGAAGATACTGTAGATTAAGGGGAACGCGAACATGACCTCAAGCTCTGCAGGGGTGAAGGAAAGCTGGGTAATGGTACTTGCCAGCTGGGCATTCTGCATGCCAGTTTCTAATGCGATGGTCCGGCACCTGCAATCACGTTCACGATAAATAAACCATCGGAGAAAACAGCACGTTTTTTTTCTGTCACTTTTTTTGATGCCTCAGAACGTGTGCTAACTGCTCCGAACAAACTAGCTAATGCTTTATGGGAAAACAGAATGTACAGATTTTTACCTATACCAAGGTTGTCCCACAAAGCGTGCCAGGAGAAAGCCCAACCCAAAGCCGATAAATGGATAAATGGTACCGATGATCCAAAGCGAAGGAGAAATGGTCCATGAGGACTGATAGAGCACACCACCGATGACTGCGATGATGACGATTAGGAGGATTCCCACCACGGACCCCACCTATACACACAAATAAATAACACAAGTCAAGCAGTGTGGCATGCGTAAGAATTTACAACATTAAATGCAGAAACAAAAACCCACCTTTAGGATCTTTTTGGCTGCGTTGGGCCATCTATGTTTTGTGTATATCCCAAGGGCGACAGGCACAAGCAAACTCACTAAGGTGATCCCTGGAAAGATCATCAGTCCAATTAAGATACGAGATCAAACAAATACATAAAATGGAAAATCTTGTTGAAGTCATTCGAGGCCGTATTACCGATGCTGTCGTAAGGGATCTGGATAGCATCGCCTGAAGTCCAGGCTGAGGTGTAGATGAATAGACAAAGAGGCATCATTCCCAGAGCCAGGATTGAGGAACATGCCGTCATGCTGATGCTACAGGCAGTGGAAAATAGTGTATTTGTTATACAGTTGTGCTATAAATAATGTTTTCTGTCCACAAACTTTACATTACATATCGTTCCTCGTGCAGTTTAAAGCTCTAGAGTGTGAAGGAAATCAGGAACAATAAAAATGAGACATTAGACAAAGTATATTTTCTATAATAAATTTGTTCATTTTCTATAATATAATATTCTTTAATTACTATTAGCTTATTACATCATTATCCTTATACTAAAATAAAGGATCAAATAAATTGAATAAAATAATACCATTCTACAATTTTAAGTAATTTTAGAAACAATAATTTTATCTATAAATATAATTTATTAAAAGGGTAAAATATCAAATTATCTAATTTAGCCTATAGACATTTTATCTGAACAATTAAATGAAAACCAACCTACAAATGACACTGCTGCATATAAATAAATTATAAAATAAAAAATAAAAAAATCAACAGAGCCTGTTTACACAGTCTTCACTGTTCCAAGCAACATAACAATAATGATAACGAAAAACTCACCTCAGGTCCATGTCTCCGTCAAGCCAGTAGCAGAAAACATTGGAGCTGGAACCTCCAGGGCAACAGCCCATAACTATGATAACTATAGCCTGGACTGGAAGCACATTGAAAATAAGTGAAAGCGCAAAGGCTGTGAAAGGCATGATACCAAACTGGCACAGGAAACCGATAAAAATGCCCCATGGTCTGCGGATGTGTACCCAGAGCTTTCTTGCCTCGACAGTGCAGCCCATTGAAAACATGACCAAGGCAAGCAGGATGGTAAGCGTGGTACTCATCACCACATTGAGAATGTCATTGAACGGATCTCGCGGCACTAGGCAGGACGTGCCCGAGCAGATGGTGGCATTTTCAGGGCAGGTGGGCTCTGGTGTGCACATATTGACAAAAAATGAGTTTGAATGATGATGAATAAAAAGTAGAATCCTATAGGGTCAATGGCGCATAGATTCCAATGGAGAGGTTGCAGGGATGAAGCTTCTTGGAGCCAGTGAGCTAAGATTCCAGAGTGTTTCTACACATTTTCTTTAACACCTTTTCAGACTCAGTTCTCGTTCCTGCATCCCGGGTGACAAAGAGTGAACTTTTACCCATCCCTTGGAACTTTAATACTTGCCTGAGGCATATAAAATTCAGAGGATTTTTTTTTTTTTTTTTTTGAAAAATAATTAACTTACTGCAAATGTTTTATGGGGTCAGTGTCCAAATGCCAACACCAAAAAAAAGAGAGAGGGCGAAAAAAAGATTGTCATCGTCGAGGTTAAGTTTACGCACAATAAATGCAATTGCACCCTCTTGCCATTTTATAACATTGTGGCACTTAAATTTTTATTGTTTTTCTCTAGGAACAGCCCTGTACCATCACCAACCCTGCTGTAGAGAAGACATAATGCCTACCTGACACACTGTTGTACGAAGATGATGGATGAAATAATGCCTGTATAAATATTTTTAAAGGGCCCATTAGAGATATGACTAAAGAAATGTATGGTACTTCACTCACTCTCCTTTCAATACAAAATGTGCACACACTTTGGACACACAGTAAACTTTAAAAAATGAAACAGATTTAGGTGTTTATATAACCCAATGCCTATAATAACACTTCAGTGCAAAGTTCATTGATGGAATTGGTGCATACTGTTCTGTAAAAAAAATAAAAACATAACTTGTTTAATGCTTTTTACTCACTGTTCAAGGTCAATTTCAATTGTTAAGCATAATTTCCTCCTCAAAATTTTAAAAAGTTTAGTGCAGCTTTTAACTCTGGGTTGTTTACAATTAGCTTTCATTACACTATGAGACTGATATCACTATGACTTATGATCACAATGAGGGTTTTCAAAATAACATTTTTGAATCTAGTTAAGAAAAAGTACTGTGAAATAATAACTAATATTGTTTAGGACATTTGGCAAATTTAATGGATTTAAGTGTCTATGCAATTACAACAAGCAGCACGCATGTCAAATGCTGTACTTGTCCAACCAAAGATCATAACTTTGTAATATACAAATAAGAATGTTAACCCTGAGGTGAAATCTCAAAACCTGACTTAGTTTTCAAAATTAAGGTCTTGTCCATGATAATACATTTTCGTTTGAAAACACACAAACACAACTTTTTCTCTCCGTTTTGGCCTTCTGTCCACACTGAGATGGCGTATTTAGCAACAAAAACTAAGCTTTTTGAAAATGCTCTCCAAGGTGAATACATTTGAAAACACAGTTTTCACATTGTAGTGTGGACTGTGGACTATGAAAACAGAGGTATTTAAAAACGATGACGTAAGTTTAGTCATGTGACGCATTTTGAACACATAATTATGTTTATACCGGTATTGTGCCTGTTAGGGCTAAAAAAAAGTGCTATAAAAGTGCTATTCACTTTCACACAGTAGCTAAAATATGTTACATTGCACACTCTTCATATCACATTCCTGCAAAGATGACAGAACAATCACTTGCATTTGCTGTCCTGCGGCAAAACGTTTTAGACCAAACATATAAGTGAATGCTACCCGGACACACACTGTAAAAAAATTTTGATGGTTTAACTTAAAAAAGTAAGTAACCTGGTTGCTATAAAAATTTAAGTTCATTGAACTGGAAAAAGTGAGTTAATACAATTAATTTAATCATCAGAAACTCAAAATGATAAGTTATCTCAACTAAATAAATTATTATAAAGTTGATTTGACAAAAGAAAATATGTTGTTATAACAAATCTTGAAAATATTTTTTTACAGTGTATCGGTGAATGGTGAGATATTTCACGAAAATAAAATTACCCTGCCAGAAGAATTGCGGGATAACTTGATTTTGTCTTGATCTGTCATCTCAGTGAGCTTTTATAAGGGTTTACACATGCGTAGTAAGGTGAATTAGCGCGTTTTCCGACGTTTCGTGGATGAGAAACTTCTGGAAAACGCTAGTGTGCACGGAGAGTGTTTTGAAACAAAAACTCAGTTTCAAATCTATCCAGATACACCAAACCCACGATTCGGTTCATATGACAACTTTTGACCCACGATTCGATACAAACCGCGATTCTTCTTCTTTTTTTTTTTTTTTGGAGGGAGGGGTGCGGGGTTGGAGGAGAAAAAAAAATAGCCAGATTTTGAGAATTTTGGTTTCATATTGCATATTGTTACAGCCCTACGATTGATGTAGACGTATGTCCAAAAATTGTGTAACAAGGACCAAAACACATAAGAATTACAATACAAGACGTCCATTTGTCGTCCATTCACTGGGTTTATACCATTTGCTGGGATTTAGGTTCAGTAATTAATTAATTCTATAAAAAACCCACAGTTTTAGAGGAACAACTGATCTGGAATTTGATCTTTTAATCATATCATGTTGATACGTTTTGGTTTAAGCTCAGAAAGCAAGAATAGAAGTTAAAGTTGAACAGATTCAATGCAACATTTCCTGTCATTTTATTTGGAAGAACAATATATTATATTCTAGTTGAATATACATCAACAGACAGGAACAGGCCCACTCAAATGTGCATGTTGTAAAATTGTATACAGAGAGAGTTTATACAGAGCTGTATGAATCCTGAAACCAGTAACAATGTGATTCCTGCCTCTGCCTTTGAAATAAGACATAAATTCAGCAAATATTTAATCATTGTCAAAGTGGTTTTATTCATGGTTTACACCATCCCAGATAACATTGCAGCCAGGCCTCAGACTCATCTGTGATATGTGGTATGATGAGACAGTGCAGTACAATCACAACTGTTTAGTGGTAAGATGTAGATTTCCTGTTACGTGGGCTATGAAACACCTGAGCAGGTAAATCCCAGAGTACTGGACTGAACTGCAGGTCATAGGAGAGGGGGGGGGGGGGATAGAGATGTATACATGTTATAATGTATGTTACTGTATAATTATAATGTTACTTATCAGCTTATCTTTTGAAAATCTGACTTCCTGTAATTGACACAACAAAGCCAATGCAACCGTTTCCAGAACCCCTAGCCTTATCTTATCATCAGACTTATCTTATCATCTGACCACATTAACATATTACAGTGAGCGTTCCTCGCTGTTATAAAACTACAGGTCAGAGGCACTGATTTACTGATTGCTGGCGATCAAGGGAACCTCTGACAGATGAACACTGACATAAAACCAAAAGAAGTGACTAAGATTGAGTGTGCATTATAAACTCATCACTGCTCAAACACGCATCACCAGGATGACACTTGCTGATGGATTAGGAAATAACCTTGATGTGGGCGATAAGTGCAGATTATCACACACATACATACTACCATTCAAATGTTTGGGGTTGGAAAGATTTTAAAAGAAGTATAATGGTAATGAAATATTGTGAATATATACTATATTATTATTTATTCTTTTGATGTCAAAGTTGAATTCTCAACAGCCATTGCTCCAGTCTTCTGTGTCACATGATCCTTCAGAAAGCAGTCTAATAATAAAGTATTAATTTAAAATAAAGTACCCCAAACTGATGGTACTGTGTGCAGTCTTGTGAAAAAGAAAGTACGCCCTCTTTGAATTCTATGGTTTTACAGATCAGGAAATATTAAGAATCATCTGGTCCTTGGCAGGTCTTAAAATTAGGTAAATACATATCAGACGAACAACAACATGACATATTACACCATCTCCTTATTTATTAAAAAAAAAGAGGCCAAAATGGAGAAGCTATGTGTGGAACAACTAAGTACACCCTTCCTGCTTCCATAGGAACCAGTCAGACAGTGCTAATCAAATGCCTTTGATTAACTGTTTATCAGCAAGAGTGAATATACATATAAAAGCAGAAGTTTTAAGAGTTTGCTGGTCTGGAGCATTCAGGTGAGTGTTAACACAAGGAGAAAATACATTAGGGAATGGTTATTATGGAATCTGGAAATGGTTATAACTCCATTTCCAAACAATTTGAAGTTTATCATTCTACAGTGAAGTTTATTCACAAGTGGAAAACATTCAAGACGTTTGCCAATCTTCCCAAGAATGGACGTCTAGAAAATTTCACCCCAGGGTCAGACTGAAATGGCAAAAAACCCAGGAACTACAGCTCAGACTCTACAGGCCTCAGTTAACATGTTTGGTTTGACATAATTTATGACAGTACAATTAGAAAAAAGACTGGATGGCATGTATGGCATGTTTGGAAGGGTTGCCAGGAGAAAGTCTCTACTCTCTAAAAAAGAACATGGCAGCACGGCTTAGGTTTGCAAAGTTGCATCTGAACAAACCTCAAGACTTCTGGAACAATGTCATCTGGTCAGACGAGACCATAGTGGAGATGTTTGGTCATGATTTACAGTGCCACATTTGGTGAAAACTAAACACAGCATATCAGCACAAAGAGCTTAAACCAACTGTCAAGTACGCTGATGGAAGTCTGATGATTTGAGCTTGTTTTGAGCCACATGACAATCGAGTCGACCATGAACTCCTTTGTATATACCAAAGTATTCTTAAGTCAAATGTTAGGCCATCTGTCCGTCCGGTTAAGCTTGGCTGAAAGTGGCTCATGGAACAGGACAATGATCCCAAGCACACCAGCAAATTTACAACACGATCGTGTTACAATGGTCCAGTCAAAGTCCAGACCTCAACCCAACATTAAGAGAGCTGTGCATAAACAAATGCCCGCAAACCTTTAAACTTTCTAAAAAAAAAAAAAAAAGTAAGTGTGCACATCCCAAACAGCCAGATTAAGCTCAAGTGCAGGACAACTAAATGATATAAACAGATAAAGAAGTGTGAAGTCTGCACACTGAAAATTACTGCTCCAAAAGAATTTATTAAAAGGCAACGTTTTGACCCTCAGGTCTTCATCAGGCAGAATATCAATGTAGAGTGAAGTCAACTTTAAATAGACATGGTGATCTATTTAGTTTTTTCAGTGTACTTAGTTTTTCACACGTGGCTTCTCCAGTTTGGCTTGATTTTTGGTAAATAAATAAAGGCCGTGTAATATGTCATGTATTGTTGTTCATCTGAGGTTGTATTTACCTGCATTTTACACCTGCTAAGGACCAGATGATTTTTATATAAATTATTTGCCTGTGTAAAAAATTAAATACATTTTCTTCAAAATATATGTG